AGGCAACGTTGCTCTCCACACAATGCAAGCTGAGAAGCAACCACCACTGTATCAAACTGGGTTTTGTTCTCACCTTATTTCTTCACCCTCCATTTCCTTTTGCTTCAGTTTTCTTCTCTAGTTAAAAGTCCCTGAATCTACTAAGATGTGTACATTGCTTCAACTATCTTAAATCTTTTTGAGAACAGGCTGGGCTATTTTCAAATCTACTGACAAAACCCACTAAGAAATAATCAAAACAAAAGGTTCTGTTGTTTGGGTCATGAGCTAAAATATCTGATTTGACACTCTTCATATAAATAAGATGATTTGTCCTCCAATTTTGCAAAGAAGTTTGAGTGGCTTTCTTGTCTTTAATTCACAGTCTCCAGCCACTTTGAAGACACTTGTACACCAGCTCCACAGACCAAAGAGAAAATGTGTGACTCAGAGATTATCTAGTAGAGACCACTAACCTCTTTCCTATTCTCGTCTTTCCTTTGGCCTTTCCCGTGGAAGTTTTCTCCTTTGAAAATGCATTTTATATGTTGAATAGGACTGAATATTATAAGCAAGAAATAAGCTTAATAGAGACATAAATCTCCATTAGTTCATAAATGGTGTGTTTTCCATTTTTTTGTGTGTGGGGGGCTGGGTCCTCTCGGGAGTAAATTTTTAAGTCCAATCTTAATCTGCTTCCAGCCTTTCTGGAAGAAAGGCCTTGGCCTACATCTGTTCCATCTCGGCACGGAGAAAGAACTGGCTTGTCAGCAGGTTTCCGAGCAAGGTGGACAGCACGGAGGACATCGAGTTCTTTTCAGATAACTTAGTTATAAAGCAGGGCAAATGTGTACGTGCTCTGTGCAGGTGGTGGGAGTGGCTGGTGGATGGCTAGGCTGGTACTTTCGGTGCCTCGTTGTTTTACTACGTCACTGAAATGCCTGCACTCCCCATGTAAACAAACAACACTGCAGTTAGGAAAGTTCCACATCTGTGTTTCTGGAACATGTCTCTGAGGTCTGATGAGCAGAATCTTAGGATTTGTAGGAAAAGTGCACCACAGCCTTATGCCCTACGAATCTCCTGGGATTGAGGAGAATCATATTTCTCGCCCTGAATTCTGTTCTGGCTTTTTGACAGAGTAGGAGGCTGCCTGGCTGAGCAGTTGAGCTTAGTGACTGATCAGGGGATCTCTTTCCAAGGACCATCTAATGAACACCTGCCAAGAAACTCATGTTTTCTCTTTCTAATTACCAACCTTTCTTGTTTATTTCTGGTGTTAACACTCCCCGCTTTCCCCAGCCGTCTCAACTGCAGACTTTCCAGTTCTTTCAAGCACTGGGATATCACCTAGGTGTGTGATGAACATCTGCAAGGGCTGCCAGGGACTTCTGGGGGGCGCTATGGGCTCCCAGAGGGCATCCGGAGCTGCAGGGACCAGGACACAAGGAGTCATCCTAACTCAAAGTTCCTTAACCTCTCTTGTTAATTCTAATCCAATAGTGCCCAAGTTTCTTCTCATATTAATATTAAAGGGACATCCCCAAATTCATCTATTTTTCATATCTGTCCTGTTATAAAATGAGTAGCTAACTCTAAGTGCTTTTGGGTCACAATTTACCATTTTAAAGTCTCCTTTTAATTTTGCCTAATTTTTCCATTCTGCCTTATGTGTTATTTATTGCTTCTAAATTTTCAACTTACTTTTGAAATTGCATGAATCTTATAGAAATTTAACCCATGCTAATTCTATACATTTATATGTGCAACAAGCATTCCTATTGGTACAATTCCACTTTGGAAGAATGACCAGGGCAAAGTTTTATAGACATTTAAGTTGATAAAGATCTAATGAGCATTGTTGAGTTCATAACTGCTATTTATGGGTCACCTGCTCCCCCAAAGTAGGCTTCTTGTTGTAAAGAAAGAGAAACACAAAGTAAAAGAACAGTTTTCTGAAAATAAGTAGCTGAGTTTCAATTATTTCAACAATGATATACAATTATATGTTCCCTTGACTGTAATCCACTTGAAATGTGATTATTATTTTTACACTTTTCTCAGTTAATTTGAGTGATATGCAAGTATCAGGGTGCTGGCTACCTTTCCAAGATAGGCACAGTAGCTGCCTGGTTAGGGTAGGACTTCCCGGTAAAGTGGCATTAGAGCTAGATGCTGAATAATGAAGCCTGCCATGCAAAGGTCTGAGTCAAGTTCCTTCCAGCTGGAGGGAACACTAGGCCCTAAGGTGGGGTAGAGTTTCCTCCCATGAGGGTTGGGAGTAGGACTGGAGGTTTGTAAGCAAGGGGAAGATGTACAGGAGACCACATTGGAAAGGGAACCGCCAGTGACCAAAGTTTGGATTTTTATCCTGAGAGCCAAGGTAGGTCATAGGCAGGTAAAATACTCTATTTAAGAGACCCAGAAGATAGAGTATACTGCTCAGGGCCCCTTCAGGAGGCAGGAATATTCAGTAGGCATGTCATCATGTGTAGTGCAGGTAACAGTCTGATTTACTGTGATGCCACTGCATGCCACATGTAACTAGCATCTCACCTCCCACCGGCAAGGGGCTCAACTCCACATTCAAAAGCAAGGACATTTCCAAACCAACTCACAACTTTGTCTTGGATGGTCTATTTTTTGGTAACAATATCTTTAGATGTGAGAGGAGATAGAAATCACACCAGCAATTTTAATGGAGAAATACTTACTATAATCAATGGTTAACAGTATATACAGCTCACTAGGTAAGTGAAGGGGGGAAATGAGAATTCTAGGGTAATAATTGCAAGAAGCAGCTAATCTGATAGGACTGGGGAACAAAGGCAAGCACTCAGACTAAAAAGCCTGAAGGGGGCGCTACGTCAGGCTGAAATTCAGAACGCTTGAGGACAAGTACTGCTCTGCATGTGTGGGATGCCAGACCTCTGAGGATGGAAGGCCAAGTCGCTGCAGTGGCTGTCTGTAAGAGGGCTCCCCGAGGCTGCTGCTGTGAGTTGGAAAGACTGCATACTGGATTCAGCTGTTCCTACGCCATGACGGTGAAGAAATATTGATGAGGTGATCATCACAAGAACAGGAAACAGAAAGAGAGGGGCAGGTCTATTCTTCTCACGCCTGCAAAAATGTGGTTCGCACGCTCAAAGTCTCACCATCATAACGCAGAGCGAAGGAGGTGCTGAAAGATAGAAATTTTTATTAACTCCCAAGGACTGTAATACAGGAAAAATCAATGTGAGAGGTAGTCAGCATGGTCCTTCACTCCCTAGGCTGAGCGCCTACACATCGCATAGCCAATTAATAGATTACTCTCCATGCGCAGGGGTGTCCAACCCACGGCCCATAGGCCGCCCAGGATGGCTATGACTGCGGCCCAACCCAAAATCATAAATTTACTTAAAACCTTATTTGTTTTGCTCCTTAGTGTTTGTTACTGTGTGTGTATTTAATGTGTGATCCCAGACAACTCTTCTTCCACCAGTGTGGCCCAGAGACACTGAAAGGTTGGACACCCCTGATTTAAAGCTTCCCCCAAAGGCTCCAGAGTTCCTGATGGACCAGTGCCTACAGTACCTGTGATTCTAAAAGGCAGGTGTGCCTGTGCTGACCGTTCTCCCCGTGCCTGGGAAGCCAGGGCATCCAGACAGAGGGCTTCAGTGGCGGCAGGCCTCAGAATGGCCCTAGGACCAACCAAGGAAGGACCTTTCTCCCTCTCACAGATTTTATTCTCCCTGATCAACAGTTTAACAGATTAGACCTATAGCACTGATTGCTAATTAGAAAACACTTGATTGAGTCTCAGGTGGTCTTTCTAGGTAACTAACACCTGACTCCTCTTTATCTTTGGAAAGGGTTTAGTAATCCACTTCTTTCAGGAAGCCTGGGAGCTGATGGAAATTTCAGCCCCGACCAAGCTAATTTTCATGCTCACGGGTGTATATATTGTAATTAGCACACCCTGCTTTGTCTTTGGTCTGCATTTAATATCATCACACATGGATATGACTCCAGGAGTCCTTGCTATTCGGAGCCTAATTTGACTTTATCTTGAGGGGTCCAGAAATTCAAGTACAAAAGCATCTTAAGCTGCTCAGAAGTTCCTGGGGTGTTATAAAGCACAGGTCACTTATGAGTTCAGATGTAGACAGAGCTACTTCCCCTAGGAGGGAAGCAGGAAAAGGAGGAAGCAAAGAGAGATTCAGTCCTTACTCTTTATCAGAATATAAACCAATTTTTAAAAATGAAACTCTGAGATAAGCAATGGTTTCTAAAAGAAAAGCAAAAGTTAGGTTATTCCTAAAATTATGCAGACAAGAAGTATAGATCCAGAAATTCCAGCCTAACTGGCCAAAAACACGGGCATGCTTTCCACCACATCATGCCACCTCTTTGTTTTAAAAACAAAATATATTTTTTTATTTGTCCTTTCCAGGACAAAAATCCTGGGAAGTAGTCAAAGAAGAGAGTATTATCATCATTTAGAGATTTAAAGAAAGTAAAATGCACAGGTTATGAGCAGAACAGAGATTAAATGGCAAAACTAAACTTTTGTCTACAACCCCTGTTGCGTGCTTTTTTCTTTATTAAGCTGCTAAAGGTGAAGAGCATTCATCACCATCAAAGATAGTGTTACATCAATAGTTACCATGTACCAAGAGCTCACAGGCAAAGTGTTATTAAATATACTTTCCTTTGAGCCTCATTCAATCTTCACTACAGCCACATATAAGGTTGCTTGGTTACAAGGTACATAAACCCCTCAAGAAAACTGGTTGAATGTGACAGGGTGGAACTGGAACAGAAAGCCCTTGAAGTAGATCATGTTATCCTTGGAGTAGATAACCATATAAAATAGCAGTAAGGAGCAGAGTCTGGCGCAGATGCAGCTGAGTTTGGATTGCAGCTCGGGCACTTACTAAGTACATAACAACCCCGGGGCAAAATTGTTTCACCAGCCTGAACTTTCTTTTCCTTGTTTTTAAAGTGAGGACATTATAAAACATTAGAGCTTTGTTTTGATAGATACATGGCTAAAGCTAAGATCTGTTTCCTGAGATCTTCTTCACTATATGGCTCCAGGTTAAAACTGCCAAAAGATGAACTTGCTTGGGATTAGGAAGGTGGAGGGAAACAGAAGCCAAACTTCTCAGAAGGTCACCACGATCAGACCTGGTGATGGGTGAGTGTGGAAATCCCCGGCAGTTTCGGCTCGCTCTCTCTGTCCTTCATTCCACATCCAACTCATTTTACTAGCTGCTAGCCCTGAAGACCGGCATGCATATCTTTGTAAAAAATTGCCCAGCTGATTACCAAAGATGTTGGATAATTTTATTTTATGCTCATGCCAGTAACATATGAATGTTCCAGTTGCTCCCATCATTGCCAGTATCTGTCATTGTTTGTCTTTAGCCATTCTGCTTGGTGTCTAATGGTACTTTATTTTGTTTTTAACTTTTGCTTCCCTGATGACTAATGATGTTGAGCACATTTTTATTTTCTCAATGGCTTTTTATACATCTTCCTTTGTAAAATAATTGTTTAAGTATTCTGACCATTTTATTGTGTTGTTTGTCTTTATTACAGAATTATAGGAGTTTATATATTCTGAATACATGTAATTTGTTAGACATATGTATTGTGAATATTTTCTCCCAGTCAGTGGCTCATTTATTCATTTTATTAATGTATTTTAATGAGCAAACAATTTTCTATTTTGATAAAATGAATTTTATCAACTTTTTCTTTTATGAGGGTCCTGTTTATATACATATATTTGGTTCCTGTTTAAAAATCTTTGCTTATCCCCAAAGTCATAAAAATTTTCTCCTGTTTTCTAGGTATGAGTTGAGTTTTCCTTCTTTGAAAACATAGCCAATTGTCCCAGCACCATTTTCTGGGGGGAAAAATACTTTACTTTCCCTTCTGGTGTGCTTTGTGGCCTTGGTCAAAAAACGATGGTTTCCTTCTGGTCAGAGTTGTGGGACTCCTTCTGGGCTCTCTGTTCTGTTGCAGTGCTCTGTCTGTATGCAACCACCATGCCGTCTTACATAGCTATCTTAACTATTCTGTCTGGAAACAATATAAGTGCTTCAACTTTTGATTATTTTGTTTAAGATTATTTTGACTCTACTAGGATCTTTGCATTTTCACATACATTTTGGCATAAGCTTGTAAACTTTTACAATAAGTAAAACCTGCAAAGAATTTTATTGGAATTATGCTGAATCATAGATTAATTTGGGGTAATTTATGGTCACTTAAATTCAAAAATCCCTACAAAGTGTTTTTATTGTTGTTGTTATACATTGCAAACCTTTTTTATTGTTGTTCTATTATAGTTGTCCCCGTTTTTCCCCTTTGCCCTCCTCCATCCAGCTCACTCGCTGCCCCCACAGTCCATCTCCACACCGTTGTCCATGTCCATGGGTCATTCATGCATGTTCTTTGACTAGTCCCTTCCCCTTCCTTCCACAAGGTTTAATCTCGGCCTCCTCACTTATGTTTTGCTTATTATTTCTAACGTATTTATTTTTTGTGCTTGCCCATTAATGTACTGTTGTACCTAATTACACAGTCTTCCTGCTTTTGCCATTTCACTTATGCACTGGCTTTCTGGTTGGTTGATGCACTGTTTTTACTAAGTGCTTTACTTTTAGCACATTTTTTCTCTCCTATATTTTTTAACTCATATTTTTATCTCTTCCACTTAAAAAAGTCCCTTTAACATTTCTTTTAATACTGATTTGGTGGTAACAAACACCCTCACCTTCTTGTCTGGGAAGTTCTTTGTCTCTTTGGTTCCAAATGATGGCCTTGCTGGATAGAATACCAGTAATCTCAGTTTTAGGTCTTTGCTTTACATCACTTGGAATATTTCTTGCCAGTCCCTTCTGGCCTGCAAAGTTTCTGTGGAGAAATCAGCTGACAGTCTTATCTGAGCTCGCTGGTATGTCACTAACTGCTTTTCTTTTGCCATTTTTAAAAATCTCTCTTTGTCTTTGAACTTTGGAATTTTAATTATGATGTGTCTTAGTGTTGGCCTCTTTGGGTTCATCTTGTTTGGGACTCTGCATTTTCTGGTCTAATACATCTATCTCCTTTGCCATTTAGGAAAGTTTTCAGTCATTATTTCTTCAAATAGGTCTTTAATCCCTTGCTCACTCTCTTCTTCTGCTACCCCTATGATGAGGATATTGGTGTGCCTGATGTTGTCCCAGAGATCCCTTACACTGTTCTTATTTACTAAAATGTTTTTCCAATTACAGTTGACATACAATATTATATGTGGTTTCAGGTGTACAATGGAGTGCTTAGACATTTATATAACTTACAAAATAATCATCCCAATAAAATGAATACCCATTTTGTAAATTCTTTTTTCTATTAATATTTGCTGTTCCAGTTGGGTGTTTTCCACTGCCTTTTTTTCCAGATTGTCAATTCATTTCTCTGCTCCATATAACCTGCTGTTGATTTCCTCTAGTGAATTATTCTTTTCAACTACTGTATTCTCATTTCTAATTGTTATTTTTTATGGTTTCTTTGTCTTTGTTGAGATTCTCATGGAGTTCATCTATTTTTCCCTAAGTTAATTGAGCATCCTTCTAATCATTGTTTTGAACTCCATCTCTGGCAGCTTGCTTATCTCCATTTCATTAAGTTCTTTTTTTCTGGAGTTTTGTTCTATTCTTTCATTTGGGCTATGCTTCTTTTTCTTCTCATTTTTGATTGACTCCTTGTGTTTGTGTCTATGCATTACATAGGTCTACATCTCCCAGTCTTGGCAGAGTGGCCTTGTGCAGTCAGTGTCCTGTGAGACCCAGTGGTACCATCTTCCTGTTCACCCAGGTCAGTTGCTCCAGGGGTGTCCCTTGTGTAGGTTGTGTGTGCCCTCTTACACTAGTTTAGCGTTGAGTGCTGTTGGCATGTCAGTATGTAGGACTGACCCCTAGGGCTGACTGGCTGAGAGGGCTGGCAGTGACTACTGCAGACAAGCTATCGTGCAGGGACTGACCCCATAGAGGAAGAGTCACTTTAGCAGGGCTCCAGTGCCAACCTCTTCTGCCCTTTATGTATGGCATTGGAAGAGATGGTTGGGTGGTGCTCCAGTGTAATCTGAAGCCAGCCACTGGTTGTATTGGTTTTGAAGGCTCTTAGCAGGGGCTCTGGTGCAGGTCAAGGTTAGCCACTACTTGTGCACAGCTTGGGGTCACCTGATGGAAGATACAACATGATTACAATTGGCTGCTGCTTACGCTGGACTTGGAGGTGCTTTGGAGAGGATATGCCATGAACCAAGGCTGGCTGCCACTAGTGACTGTTTTGGGATATTTTTGTGGGTACCATAGTGTGAGCTGAGGCCAGTCTCTCCTTGTGCTGGGCTTGTGGCCTTTCAGTTGAAGCATTGTTTCAAGCCAACACTGAGTTCACATATCCTTATGTCAGGTTTGGGGTCACCTGATGGAAGATACAATGTGAGTTGAGACCAGTCTCCTCTTGTGCCAGGTTTGGCACCACTTAGCAAGAGACACAGGGCATGCCAAAGCCAACCACTGCTTGTTTGGAGTTTTGGACTTTTGAGAGATGTTAGGAAAGTCTGAAGCATGAGCTGAGACAGGCCTCTTGTGTGGAAAAGACTCTGGAAGTGGCTTGGGCTGGGCACATGAATTGGGTGGGGAGGTGTCTGGGAATCACCATAGCAGGGTAACTGGTGTTAGCCACATTAATGAAGAACAAAGAGTTAATCCCCAACTGTGCCTGCTGGCTGGGAGAGCAAAGGGCTCAACAAAGGGAACAGTGGCAGCTGCCACAGCTTTGGTCCCCAGAGAGAGCGGCACTGTATCCCTCACTCTGAAGCTAGTCAGTTCAGTTCTATCCCGTATGTCCCTGGTGCTTATTGAGCTGCTGTTCCAGGGCTGGGGCCCAGAGCAAGTGAATCTGTGAGCGACAGAGTCCATGTGCAGGCCCGTCAAGAAGAACACCTGAGATTCCAGGAGCCCTCTGTCCCACTGAAACATAATCCCTGCTGGTTCTCACAGCCAGATGTTATGGGGATTCCTCTTCCCATTACTGGTGCCCCCTGGCTGGGGGGCCCAGTACAGGGCTGGGACCTTGCTCTTCAGCGGGACCCTCTGCATTCATGATATCTCCCTGATTCTTAATCACCACCATGGGTAGGGGCTTGCCTGTTCTATATCTCCATCCTGTCCTACCAGTCTCAATTTCATTTCTTCTTTATATCCTTAGCTGTAGAACTTCTGTTCAGTTAGTCTTCAGGTGGTTCTCAGTGGTGGCTATTCTATAATTTAGTTGTAACTTTCATGTAGTCATGGGAGAGTCAAGCACAGCATTAATCTACTCTGCCATCTTAACTGGAAGTCCTCTTAATTTTATTTTCAAAGTTTATTCTGCATTTACAAAGATGACCGTATGCTTGTTTTCCCATTTTTCTTTAAAAATAGTAAATTCCACTGAGTGTTTTTCAAATGTGAAATTAATCTTGCATTCTTGGAATAAAGCTACTTAGTCATGATGTATTTGCTTTTTTTATATCCTGGGATTTCATATGTAAGTTTTTTTTAGAATTTTTGTGTCTGTTTTAACGTTTTGGGATGAATATATACTGATTTTTTGTTTGTTCTTCTCTTCTAATATAGGCACTTAAAGCTTAAATTTCCCAGTAGGTTCTGTTTTATACTAAAATACCACATTTTCATTATTTTATAACTTTTTCTAAATACTGAATAATTTTCTCTTTGTTTGCATTTTTCATCTATTGGTAACTTAGAAGTATTTTCCTTTACATTTTAAACATTTAAACATTTTTCTTTTTACCTTACTATTATCAATTTCTAGTATAATTCCTCTGCGGTCAGGGCATATAGTCTATGATTTCATCCTTAAACTTTTTTGAGCCATCAAAATGTTATTTGTCATAACATTTAGTCTACCTTTATAACTATTAGTGAATAAGATGATTAATACCTTAAGTTTGTAATGATAAATTTCAACAGTGATTTAGAGCTGATTTCAGAATACTGTGCTATTTATTAGGTTATTTAGTAGAAGACCAGTAAAAATGTTTACAGCTATGGCTTACAAGATGAGTGTTCATACTATGAGCTGGAGCAGGTCTCTTAATCTCAAATAGCTCTTTGTGGTGGGTGGCTGTCCTATGCC